AAAAATAATAATAAAAATAAATCTTTAAAAAAAAAAAAAAACAACCTGTGATTGTGATTTATTAAATGTGATCTATATGTTTAATTTTTTAACTAGAATATTTAAGTCAATTATACTTAACTGACTGTATTTAGGCTGTGTGTATCTTCCTGATAATAAGTTTTCTGACCACTGAACTTTGATTTTCCTTTACTCTAATTTTTTTACTTTTTATTTTTAAAATACATATACCATATCTCTTATGTTAAAGGATCATCTGGCTCTTTGTACATATCAACATGTGTCCAAAGCTAATCAATAATTTTCTCTTCCTCTTCAACAGGATACAAACCCTTTGAACACTTTACTTGAACTATTTGAACCCCTAATTAATACACTATTTTTAGTGTATTATTTTGAGCCTGCTTTATTTTTACAGCTTAAAAAATCTTTTTTATTACTGATTTGAATATGGTCTTTATTTAGGTGTGCCATTGTTTTCCTTGTCAGTACTTCACTCGATTCTTGGACTGTCTGAATCTGAAAGTTGGGCTGCCAACAGTTATGGAATAACTCTCAGATATTCTCTCCTCAGTAGTGCGTCCTCCACATTCTCTGTGTTAATCGTCCCCAAACACCAACCAAGCAGCGTCTAGACTTTGTCCTCTGTTCCTCATGTATCTTAATACTCCTTTGTCTACAAGATTTTTTGCCCTCTTGGATTACATGGATAGTCCTATGCAACCCCTTAATCTGCTTGAGTTTAAAAAGTTAGTAATTCTTGCACTTTTAGTTCTACATGGTTCTTATTAAAATCCCCAAAACTACTCATACCTGAAAGACTTTTTTTAACCGTTTTTTATTTGTTTGTTTGTTTGTTTTACAAATTATATCTACCAGTCTACTTTTAAAAAGTCTTTGAGGGGCTGTTTCTTTCTCCTGTATCATGTCTGATTTTGAAATATTGTATGTGATGTTTCAGTTCACTTGGAATCTGATCTGTGGAAATTCTTTGAGTTGAAATTCGCTTCATACCAAGAGACTTCTCTTCTGCCTTTGTCTCTGTCTGCCATCTGGCAGCACTGTCTTTGTGCAGCTAGCCTTTCCAGATTGAAATTTTTTTCATACCACACTTAAGACTCACATGCACAAGAGCTAGCTTGTCACTGCAAAGTCTTGGAGGGCTGTCTTTGGCTGTAGTGTCTTCACCTTTTGCTAATGTCAAGATAGGTAAGTTGGAGTTTCTAATCTGCTATATTCAGAAGCAGGTAACACTGGAAATATTACAGAATTAAACTTTGCTGTTTACAACTGTAATTTTAAGTCCCTTTGTAATTAGTGAATGGACTTTCCTTATTTAGCTGCTTGTGCACATGTATTCAGTGATTTTGCTACTCTTGAAAATTATGTTAGAGTGTGTTTCATAGAAGTGGTCGCATAACTTACAATTTACCTCCTTGAATACTTTAATTTTGATCACATATATTTTACTCATTTATAAAAATCCAATTAATATTTAAACAACTAAAACACACAAACATTAGGTAATTTTTCCATGCTTATGATCATTGGGAAGCTTAAGATTGAAGCTCACATGAATAAACTAGTCGTCCAATGTTCTGCGGCTGAAATTTGAATGGATTTGTAGCAAACTCTTAAGTTGAACTGATATTCAAATGTAATAAGTACTATGAATCTTCAGGTTAAATGTCAAATGTGTAATTTTAAAAGCAAACAGTAACAGAAAATATAATATCTTCAGCCTGGATATTGAAAATTAGTACATTTAGGAGTACCTGGCTATCTCTTAATGTACAAATTATTTCTGCATAGAGAAGAAGAAATTATGGGGAAATCATGTTTTCAACAGATGGGTGATGAGAAGAATGTAGCTTAATTTAAGCCAAGACAAAAGTACAGAGAAATTTAAACTAACTGAAATAGAAATATGCCAGTGAACCTAAGTGTTTTATGCTGCAAGATTGGGACTGTACAGCTTCTCTGTGTGCCAAGGGAAATTGAAAGACTGGTATCAGTGCTTGTCTGCAGACATTCTAGATTTTCTGGTTTGCATTGCCAAATTTATTTATTCCTTTCATCAAAGGGACCCTTGAAGTGTTTTAGTTTACTTGGAAAAATATGTTCAGGAAATTTGTTTGAAATGCAAAGAATCCTGACTTTTTAAAACTATGTAAGTTTAAATTTAGCATAGGGATTAATAATCTAGGGAAAAAAGGTAGGCTGTCAGCCAGCCATGATAATTGCTGAATGTCACAATTAATGTGAATGGGAAGCCAAAGTGTACTACTTAAGGACTGTGTTCTTACTGCTATACACGGATAGGTGCTCCACTTAAGATATGAAAAGGTTTGTGTCAGTTCTTACTGTTGAATTCAACAGCAGTTACTGAGTGCTTGATTGAAGAGGTAGTTCCTGACTTCAAGACATTTGTGATATTTTGGAGAAGGATGACAGTCGTTGTGATACTTTCTACTTAAGGAGACCCTAAGAACATGTATTTGGGAGGGAGACAGTTAAGACAAGGGGTCTTCAGGAATGGTTTCCTATAAAAAGATGCACATGAGCTGAGCCTTATATGAATTAGCAGAATTACACCAATGATACTGGAACATTGTAACACAGAGACTCAAGGAAATGTCACTTCTTCCTATCATCAACCTCATTCATCCCTTTTTTCTTTATCCTCGTGGGAACAGGTTGAGAAATGGTTCAGCATTCATTTTATGAGCTCTATTTCTAATGTGATTCTTAGGCTTATATAAAATATGAAGTCATCTTTCCTTGCATCTCTATTCCTAAGCTGTAGTGTTGCTAAGTTAGGAAATGGAAGAAGAAAACCAAGTTCATCTGACCTTAGGAATCAGGAGAATTCATCTTCTCAGTTCACCTGGCTGCTACTATGACTTATTGACCCAGACCTGTCTGTTTTCATGTCCCCAATGGGCCTTTCATCCCTTCTAATGTCTTGCTACCTGAACTGCCTGCTCATTCTGCCCCAGTCCCCATGGGGCTCCTTTTGTCACTTGAATTCATTAATGTCAGCTCTTAACTTGCCTGGTCCACCACACCCCTTCTCTATTCATATGCTAAGTCATCTTGACCCTGAGTAGTCATTAGCTATCCAACATCATTTACTTAGCCTCTGTGCCTGTTTGGTCTGACCTGCTTCCAGCTAACTTGATTACTGCTTAAGTGAACTGCTTACCTAGCCATCTAAAGCATTGACTTAGTAAGATTCTACTGTTTACACTAAGACTCAAAGTAAGAGAGACAGATTTCCTGCCCTAAATGGCCACAGCAGCTACGCTGGCCAGGCCTAGGCCAGGAGCCTGGAACTCCATTTGAGTCTCCCACATGGGTAACAGAGGCCTGACAGGACAGTTGGGCCTGGATCCAGCAGCCATATGGCCTCACAGGCAAGCAGCTTAAAACTCACTATACCATACCACCACCGGCCCTGATGTACTAAAGTTAATTGTATTTTTTGTAATGTCTACAACTGAAACTTTTTCAATGCTTTTTAAAGTAAAACTATTTTTATCTTCTGTTAAATTTCAACTTTTAAGCTAATGAAAACTTTCTTGGGGCTAAATATTACATTCCTTTTGATCATTCATTTTAAAGTTTTTCCAAGCCAGCAAAGCTTAATGTAAGAAAAAGTTCCCGAACTCAAAGTTAAAGTTTGTCTGGCTCCTGAACATTATTTTTTCCACCTTATCATACTGCCTTGCTATTTTCACTCTAAAACCTTCACAAAATATTTTAAACACTTACTTCCTTTAATTTAAGCTTCAGGTAATTTTATTCTTTCGCTGAGCAAAGGGTTCTTTAAAATCAGAGTGATATGTTCCAACTCTATAGGCAGTTAACTCTCTCTGGTGTTCTACATCAATAAGTCTTGTAGTCTTCTCAGCAATTCAGTGTAAGTGACATTTAGGTTATATAAAGACTTGAAACAAGGGTGTGGAAAGTGAAATAGACTGATAAGACTCCATCACCTTTCCTAGGCAAATATCAAAGTTCTAAGGCAGGCGGAGGATTACTGTTGCAAAACTTTTGTGAAAAACAAACAAAATACAACAACAACAGCAACAACAAATCCTGATTTTAGTTGTAGCTTTATATAAGAGCTTTGTGGTTTGGGCTGTTTAAAGCCTCTCTGAATTGGTTTGTCTTTGGTAATATCACCATGTACCGGGAACTGAACTGGATTCTTAGAAAAAGAGTCCAGACCCAGGAACAGCAGAAGAAATCATGGTGGAGTAGATTGTTATTAACTGCTAAGTTTGAGATACATTTTCTGTGAGGAGTGACTTGAAGCCAGGCCCTGAAGACCCCCGCCATTTTGGACTCAGTACTATTTTAAATATCTGCTTCATGTGCCCTTCAGGTTCAAATTTTGTTGTCTGCCAGTCTGCCTTAACTTTATGACATCGTGCCTGACAGTCCTCTCCACCAACCCCTTGCAGCCCTTCACCCTAGTCCCTGCCCACCTACCAATCCCTGTGGCTCTGACAGTCTTATCCACCAATCCCTCAGGACCCATGACACTTGTCCTGCACACTCCAGTGTGCTTCTGCCTTCCCTTGGTGGGCTGCCCTTTTCCTTGCCCAGACCTTATTCCATCCTTCTTAGTCTTGCGTCTCCCCACCCTTACCCCTTGCAGCACCATCCTGCCACCATGGCAGGAGACGTTCCCCTTCTCTCTTTCTGTGTCTCCACTCCCGTCCCTACCCTGCTAGAATAAAGGACCTCCTAGGTGCCTTGCTACATCTGTTATTTTGGCTTATTGTAGCAAACTTATCCTGAACAGAACTTAGCTTCAGGAGAGGAGTAACGTTTTCAACTCAGCATAACTGTCTAATACCTGTTTCAGAGATGTGATTAACCCAATGTATTCATTAATAGTCCAAGAAGAATTAGTAATGCTACTGTGTGAATATGCAAAATAAAACACTGGAAATTCATTTTATGTTTATTTTTGCTCACTGCCTTTACAGGAGAGCCTTGAACTTAGGAATTCTTCGAGATCCTGGGTCAGAAATTGAAGACAGACAATATCAAATAGACCTTCAATCCATCAATATTGGTACTGCGCAGTGGGATCAACTAAAACCAGAGAAGGAACGGAGCACAGGCGGAGTATTGCCAGAAAGTGAAAGGAACTCTCAAAATCCAGCCCTTGAGTGGAATATGGCCAGCAGGTGGGGAAGCACTGAGAAACTGTTTACTCGTTCTGATATTTCATTTCTGTAACAGTTGATGATATCATCTTGACCATGTCTGACCTGAGTGTTTTGATATTGCCTCTGCTTTTCATTGAAACCGTAAAATGTACTTTATAATTGTAGCTGATTATTTTACTTGGGATCCTTCTAGCCCTGCCTACCATTATTACACTGTAATTATTACATATTTAGTATTATGTCAGCATTTAATTATTTTTAGAGGTTGGTATTGATGAAAAGATCCATTTCACATTAAAGGATACATTGATATTTTCTCTTAAAATCCTTTATGTTCAGGTTCAGCTATTTAGTTTCTTTTTAGTCTCTTTTCTGCTTGTAATTACAGATATTACAAAAGGAGAATAATAATGATTACACTGTGAATTTATGTGTTGGAATAAGGAGGAAAAACAAAATTTTCTGGCTTTGAGTTTTTGACTATCCATTTTAACTAGCAGTGTTCACAGAGAACATTTTTTTCTTTAAAACTTTATTTATTGCTTGCGTACTTCTTTGTTTGAAAGGCAGTTGACAGAGGAGTGGACGGAGAGATGCCTTTCAGCTGCTGTTTCTCTCCCAACCTGCCTGCAAAAGCTAAGGCTGGGCCAGTAGACAAGAATTCCTTTCAGGTCTCCATGTGAATGGCAGGGGATTGATTACTTGGGGATCATTTCTGCCTCTCAGGCACATTACCAGGAAGCTGGATTGGAAGCAAAAACTATCCAAACAAGCCAGGTGCTTCCATGGAGGATGCTGACATCCTAAATGGTGGCTTAACATGCTATTGTATAATGCCCATGCCCATAGAGAGCTTTTTTAAAAAGATGTGTTTTGATTTACTTGAAAGTCAGAGTTATATCTGTCTAGATAGATAGATAGATATACATACATACATACATACATACATACATACATACATAGGGACTGAGAGAGAGAGAGAGAGAGAGATCTATCTGCTGGTTCATGACCCAAATGACTGCAATGGCCTAGCTAGATTGGTTCAGAGCTGGGAGCTGGGAACTTCTGGCTTCTTCTGGGCCATTCTCTGCTGCTTTCCCAGGACATTAGCAGGGAACTGAATCAGAGGTGAACAGCTGGAACTCAAATCTGTGTCCACATGGAATGCTGGCACCACAGGCAGAGGAGTAGCTTGGTAAGTCACTGCCTGGATAGCTGTGTCTGGTATAGAGGTGTCGGTTTAAAGTCCTGGCTCTGCTTCTGATTCTGCGTCTTGCTGCAAAGTACCCTAAGAGGCAGCAAGTGACAGCTCGGGTGCGTGGACACATGTATCCATAGGAGAGACGCAGGTAAAATTCCAAGCTCCTGGCTCTGTCTAATCCCAGCCCTGGGTGTTGCAAGTATTTGGTAAACATCTAGCTCACAGAGGATGGCTCTCAATCACCCAGTCTGTAGCTTCTCTGTATGTATGTCTATGCTCCCTCCCCCCTTTTCTCTCTGTGACTGTCTCCTCTCACTTGTACTCTGTCTCCTACTCTCCCTCCCTCGCTGCTCACACTCTCTCTTTCTCTCTCTCTGGTAGATATTTATTCATGACGAAAGGTTACTAGAGAGAGAGTGAGAGCAAGAAACAATGAGCAAGAGAGAGATCTTACCTCTGCTGGGTCACTCCACAAATGGCCACCACTGCCTGCCCAGGTATATTAGCTGGTATCTAGATTGGAAGTAGACCAGCCAGGACTCAAGCCAGTGGCCATATCTGATGCAGTTGCACAGGTGACAGTTCAACTGGTTAAGTCAAAATTCCCAGTCCTCTGTCTTTAAAATAAATAAAATATATTGTAAAAAGAAGAATGAAACTAGAAGATAGGTTTATTGGGATGCAAAATTTTGAATCTTATTTGTGGCTTTTTATTTAATTCTGTCTTTCATGAACTCTAAAATTCTCTCATATGCATGGGTTTCAGATTTTTCTATCAAAGTAAGCACCCTTAAGTTTCATTTTCCATATTAGCAGTCTCATTTAATCAAAGAAGTCTGTTAAAGAGACATTTGCACTTCTGTGTTTTTTTGTAGTACTATCCACAGTAGTTAAGAAATGGAAATAACCTACATGTATGTGGTGACTATTCACAAGGGAGTGCTACTCAGCTATTTAGAAGTCTTGTCATCGGCAACAGAAAGGCTGGAACTAGTTGTCATTATGTTAAGTGAAATATGACAGACATTAAAAATAAAAGTATTGTATGATTAAACTCATGTGGAATCTAAAAGTGTTACTCTCGTAGAAATTGAGATTGGAATGGTGATTCCAAGAGGCTGGGAAGAGGAATGAATAAAGAAAGGTTTTTTAATGCATGCTGAGTTCTAATTACATAGTAGTGTGGGGTTCTGGTTGGTATTCTAGCACACAGTAGAATGTCTATAAAAAAATAAAGTACTGTACAGTTTTAAAAAAAACTACAAAAAAGGATTTTGAATATTTTTACCGTAAAGAAATCTTAATTTGAACCTTATACAATCTTTGCTTTGAAACAACACATAAATATGTTCAATTTTTATGTGTCAGATAAAAAGAAACCAAATGTGTTATAGTCCTTCACTGATGAGTGATTGGATACCTATTAGGAGTAGTGTAAATTAGAGTAAAGAAGAGGTAGACACAGGGCCCGGCCTTGTAGCCTAGAGGCTAAAGTCCTTGCCTTGCACATGCCAGGATTCTGTATGGGCACTGGTTCTAATCCCAGCAGCACTGCTTCCCATCCAGTTCCCTGCTTACGGCCTGGGAAAGCAGTCGAGAATGGCCCAAAGCTTTGGGACCCTGCACCCGTGCAGGAGACTCAGAAGAGGCTCCTGGCTTCTGGCTTCGAACTGGCTCAGCTTTGGCCAATAAGGCCACTTGGGGAGTGAATCAATGGACTGAAGATCTTCCTTTCTGTCTCTCTTCCTCTGTGTGTATCTGCTTTTCCAATAAAAATTAAAATGAATATTTAAAAAAAAAAGAGGTAGGCACAGGCTGCCAAGTAAATTTCAGTAGAGGGCCCACCTAACGAGCGCTCATCAGGCTCATCAGTGCCCATAGGGAGCCTGATGACCATCTGGCCATCCTTTGTGTCTCTCATGTTTATTCTTTAACTCATGTAGCCATTTACGCAAGTTTGTAATTGATGGAGAAGAAAGTCAGCTAGCATACCATAAACATTTGGGTTGAGCACTCAGTGGTGTTTCACACATTCACAGTGCTCTGACCCCTAAATCTTTTCCTCACCTTAAGCACAGTGCCTGCCATCCTCTCCGCGTCCTCAGCAACCATCACTCTGCACTCAGGCTGTTCCTCCTGGCCGCTTCACGTGCATAGAACCATAGATATTTACAACAGTAAATATAATGTACATACCAATGTATGGCTGTTTAATATGCCGTCATTTTTATAGGTTCAGGTATCAGCACTTTACTTTTTTATGATGAAATAATGTTCTACTGGTGCATATAAAGGTTGAATTTCACTTTTAGTGCTTAGGACCAAAAGTGTTTCAGATTTTATGCTTCTTGTTTTTTTGTTTTGGAAATTTTCATAGGCTTTTTCATTGAATTCCAAGTTTAACTTGGAATTCAGATTTGGGGTTTTTGAATTAGACATGTTCAACTCTATCCATTCCTCAATGGATATTTGTACCGCTTCTATCTTTAGGCTATTGCAAGCAATACTACTCTGACAGTGGTATACCAATGCAAATTGAAATATCTGTTTCCAAGTGTTTTGAATATTCATCTAGAGGAATTACAGGGTGAGATAGTAATTTTTCATTCAGCTACTTTAAGATCATCCAAACTGTTTTCTGCAGAGATTACCATTCTGTTTCCCCACCAGCAGTGTTAAGAGGACAATTTCTTCTTTATCCTGGTCTCCCATGTATGTGGCAGGATCTCAAACAGTTAGGCCATCTTCCTCTGCTCTTCCTAGGCCATTAGCAGGGTGCTGGATCGGAAGTTGAGCGTGGAGTCCCAGAATTGCAGGGGACAGCTTTTCTCACAACCCTGTATGATTTCTTTATTCTTGATTTTATCTTTTACAGATAAATAATTTAAAATTGATCTTTTGTTTTATATGTAATATGTGCTGATGTAAAAGTTTTTAATTTTGATAATATTTATTTTGGTGTCCTTTTGTGTCATTTCTGAGACTCCGTTAAGATTTACCCTTGTGACTTATTTTTAAAGTTTCATTACTTTAGCTCTAATATTTTAAGCCATTAACTCATTTTGACTTTATGTGAGGTTTTGTCTTTGCTTTTATGAGGAGGGCAAAGGGCTCCACATAATTTTTTTTTTGTTTATAGTATGAGGAAACGTTGAACTTCATTCTTTCAGGTGGGGATGTTGGTTGTGTTAGCATCCTTTATTGAAGAGACTGTGCTCTGCATGTTGCATGGTCTTGACAACATTGTCAGAGCAACAAAGACTTTTGAATGTCTGAGCTCTGACACTGTAGGTGATTTACACTAACAAAATACAATAATTTATATGTGTTCTCATCCTTTTTAAATGGAGCATTCAATCTACAAAACAAACTGACGTAACCATTAGAATACAGTATGGGAAATGCTAAGGTAGCAGAATTTAATTCTTAGTTTCAGTTATTTATTCAATGTTTCTTTTCTTTCATTTGGATTAATCCTTGAAAATATTTGGATCTAGAAAAATGTTTTTTTAAGACATTCTTCATTGTCTCAAATACTTATTAATTATATCATAAGATGAAAGTTAATATTGTATAACAGAAAATTTACAGTTCTGTATACAATTGTTGACTCATTTAAATTTCCATTTTACTTCTAAGAACAGATCTTTCATATTTTGTGCCACTGACTTATTGCTTAGTTGAAGAAATGTTAATGTGGACAAACACTCCCTCTTTTCCCATTAATACATTTAGTTACTGACTATTCTTATTTGGTTCCTGCTATCTTTTCTATTTTAAGGTATTTTTAACATACTATGTATTTTAGCACTCCCTATGAGAGCACATCACATGTTACGATTTTCTCACACTGGTCACTTTTTTGGGAATTTAAGCTATTAGTCTATAATTATGATGTCTCTCTGGATTGCAGACCTTTCTCTGCATTCACAGAGTTTAATACTTTCCTATTGCTATCTCTCACCAGATCTTAAAGTTCTTTGTAGTTGACTTTCTTGAAACCCAGTACCTACTTACATATCACAGAACCAGATGATTCAATTTGCTCTTTTGGCAGACACCAAATAAATTACTTCCTATTTCAAGTTTAACCAAAAGAAAAAAATTTAGTAGTCTCTAGACTACTCTGATCAAAAAGGATGTAGAAAGACTGAGTTTTATTTAAGCTTTTTCATGAAATAACTTGGGCCAATTCTCTGCTTTCAACTTTATCATTTTATCACAGAAGGCAGTAATAAGGACATATTTATAAGGAATATTAAATTAATGATTTGAAGGAAAATTTGACCTATGGCTTCTAATGAAAATATATTTTTCATAAAATGAAACTAAGAATTTGGATAGTAGACTTGAAGATCTGTTATCAGCAAAAGCTTTGGTTTCTCAGTTCTATTTTCCAGTTTTATCTCCTATCACAAGTATAGTCTTTGAAAACTGTTAGCATTTTGCATGTCAGGTCATTTTGAATGAGTAAATGATTTGTGAAAGATAATGATACCTAGAGAATTAAAATAAGCCAAACTATTCTGTTGTCACATTTTTCTTCAAATCCAATTCTGCAAGTTTGGTTTCCATTGGATGGTTAGTCCAACTCTGACTTTATAAATAATGTGGAACTAAAACTGGTGTTTGCAGTACCTGCAGGGTTGTTTAGAGGAAGCCTTCAGTGTCAGGCCCAGGGGCCATTGGACTGGATAGGTAGTAATCATTCAAGAACTCAGGTGGTTCTTAGATCTTAATTTATAGGACATGCTCATGAATCTAAAGAGAATGAAATGATGGCAGTTTATTTTTAGATTAAAAAAAAAATTTTGTTGCTGTTACCAAGAGAACAGATTTTATATGTTCTGTAACTCCCCGGCTCTAAGAAGACAGCCGTTCTTATCTTACTCCCCTGCTTCCCACCCCTATACTCATCCACCTCTTCCCTTTCTGCAGTGTTTGCAGAGTCATCATTTTACTCCACACTTTATTCACAGGCTTAATTTGCCCCGGTTCATAATATTAGACAAATTTAAAAAGCAAAAAAGACCACAAGGCTACTTTGCAATATAAACATAGCCTCAAAATGATAGTCCAATCCCAAAGTAACCATTTTGTTCCTACCCTTTTTGTGTGTGTTCTATATAAGTAGCAGCATATCAGAGAAGAACCTTGACACTTGTCTCTCTGAGACTGGCTTATTTGGCAGTGATTACCTTTACATCCATTTTGTCACAGAATGCACGATTTGTTCCTTTTTATGGCTGAGTAATATTCCTTAGTGTATATATCCAGTACTTTTTTTGTCCATCCATTAATGGACATCTTGGTTGATTCCACAATTTAGCCTTTGTGAATTTGGTTTCATAAATTTGGGTATACAAGTTACTATCTTGCATGCTGATTTCCTTTCCTATGGGAAGATTCCTGCAAGTAGAATGGCTAGATCATATGCTAGATCTATTTTCAGAATGTCATTTGTTAAGTGGGAGGTCACAAATATTAAAAACAGGAAATAAAAAATTATTACAAAAGTTTTAAGATTATTGCTGGTATAAGAAGATATAAGATAGTTCTGTGAGAATTAAAAGAATCATAAACAGAAAAAGGAGGCTGGTGTTCTGGTGCCGTGGTTTGGCTGTTGTCTACAAGGCTGACATCCCTTATTGAAGCACCAGTTCAAGTCCAACATTATCCATTTCTGATCCACCTCCCTGCTAGTACACCTCAAAAAGCAAAGGAAAAAGGCATTGATGTCCAGCTGCCTGCCACCCCTGTGAGAGACGCACTGAGGTTCCAGACTCCTGACATTGCCCAAGAGTAGCCTAAATGTTACAGCCAATTTGGACTTAAATCATTGTTTGTTTTCTCTCTCTCCCTGCCTCTCAGACAGAAATCCAGCTTCTTGGCTTCAGCATAGCCCAGCCCCAGATATTTCAGCCATTTGGAGAGTGTGCCAGTGGATGAGACTTGCTTTCTGTCACCATCTCCCCCTCTGCCACTGTGTGTGTGTGTGTGTGTGTGTGTGTGTGTGTGTGTATAATTCTGCTTTTCAAGTAAATACATCTTTTAAAAATGAAATGGCTAACATATGCTTTATATTTTAGCATACGTCGGCATCAAGAAAGGAGAGCAATTCTTACTCCCATTTTGACAGACTTCTCTGTCCGGATAACTGCCGCACCTGCCATTATTTTTACCAAAATAATTTCTCCTGAAAATTTGCATACTGAGGTAAGACAGTATTGTAAGTTTTATGTTGCTCTGCATAATGGAGAGCTCCTCTTTGTATATTGGAGATTTTCACAATATCACCCCACGGGATATCAAATTTGCTGATTAATCTTAACAGTTGCTATCATTGCTAATATTTCTGGAACACTTGTGCTGTTCAGTTCTTTGCCTAGAATGTTTCATTGGATCCTTGAAATAATACTGTTAGCTACCATCCCCATTTTCAAGTCAAACCACATTGCAAAATTTTCACAAAAATAAAGTGGAAGAAAAGGATATGAGCTCAGCTAGCCTGACACCAGCCTCTAAGTTCCTAATTTCTACTGCCTCATCCTACTGAAAATAACAGTAGTAGTGACAGATAACTGAAATCTTTTTCTTTACAGACTTATTTATTCTTATTGGAAAGGCAGATTTACAGAGAAAGGAGGAGACAAAGATCTCCTGTCTGTTGATTACCCCCCAGGCAGCCACAGTGGCTGGAGCTTAGCCCATCCGTAGGCAGGAGCCAGGAGCTTCTTCCAGGTTTCTGATAAGGTTGAAATGTCCCAAGGGTTTGGGTTATCCCTTACTGTTTTCCCAGGCCAAAAGCAGGGAGTGGGATGGGAGGTGGAGCAGCCTGGGCATGAATTGGTACCCATGTGGGATTCCGGCTCTTCCAAGGCAAGGATTTAGCCAGTTAAACCATTGTGTCAGGACCATAACTAAAGTTTTTGTCTTAGATTACTTCAAATACAGTTCTGCATGGATGGAATCACACCTGGGTAGTAAAATGTGAGACATGGGCGTACAGGGTATCTAAAGCCACCAGGCCAAACAACAGCCCCAAAACCAAAAAATTTTATAGCTGAGCCGTCAGGTCAAAAGAGATTAAGTAACTTAACCAGTGTTAATTAGTGGGTTAACATTTTAATTTTGATCACCATGATCTGCCTCCATGCCTAGGATAGAAATACAATAATGATGTGATATAAATATATACTAAATATGTGAAACTTTTCACAGAGTTATAGGCAATTAATATGAAAATTGTGAAAAAATTGAATATGAGGCAGGCATTTTGTGCAGTTGTTAAGGCACTGCTTTCCTGCATTCCATTAAGAATTCTTGGGGTTCAAGTCCAATCTTCAATCCCAATTCCATCTTTTTAGTAAAGCACACTTTTGGTGGTAGAAAATGACAGCTCAAATAGTTGGGTCCAGGCCACACACATGGGAGACCCAGAATGAGTTTCATATTTAGCCTGGTCCAACCCTGGATGTTAGATGCTATTGGCATTTAAAGAGTGGCCCAGCAGATGAAAGAACTCTTATTCACTCAGCTTTAATTAAAAAAAAAATTAAGGTAATCTCTTGAAAGTGGATGAATGGAAATAATATGTATGAATTAAATACAGATAATTCCTGGTTTACTATGGTTGGACTTAATTGATTTTTTTTTAAGATTTATTTTGTTTATCAAGAAGTCAAGAATGACAGACGGGGAAACGGGGAAAGAAAAAGAGATTGAAATCTTGATTTGCTGGTTCACTTCCCAACTGCCTGCAAGAGTCAAGAATGAACCAGAACAAAACCAGGAATCCAAGACTAGATGGAGTTCTTAGCCTAAAGCATTTGGGCCATTTCTGTTCCTTTTCAAGTTCCATTATCAGAGAGCTAAAGTGGAAGACGAGCAGTTGGGACTAGAACTGGCACTCTGATATGGGATGCTGGTGTTGCACATACTGGCTTAGCATGTGGTGCCACAGTTTTGCCTTTATAATCATGCAGAGGCAGCACCCTTTCAGCAGAAACTGTATTTAGGTTTTAATCTTCTGGGCTAGTGACATGAGGCATAGCAGTCGTTCCAGATTCAGGGCAGCAGTAGCAAGTCCCAAATCTCAAGAAACCATGATGTCAGGAAGGCAGAAAACAATCTATCCTCATTGACTTTTGTGCTAAGTTGTGATATTCAGTGGTTGTGTGTTTTACATACATTATCAACTTATCATAGATTTATCAATATGTAATTCCATTGTCAATCATGGAGTATCTATATTATATTATATATTATATCTATATTATAATCTAAGTGTATAAAATCACTCCTTCCTTCTGTTAATTTATGAATAAGCAATGTTTTGTATCTGATTTGATATTTATAGATAGTTCTGTTGAGAGAATTAGGTTAGGCAGTGTTCCTTTATACTCACAAAAGGTGTAAGATTAACTAAATCTATCATCTTGTTTTTAGTAATAACACAATTGATTTAGAATATATGAAAGTCTTCTTTTCATTGTAATGTTAAACTATGAATTCACACAGTGAAATCATATTTTAGAATTTTTCTATTTTGTGTGTGTAATAAAAATGAAATACATGTGCACTGGAATAAGGACAATCTCGTCAATAAGTGGTACTGGCAGAACTGGAATATATATATTCCAGCTGTTGATGGGAATGTAAATTATTGTAGCCATTGAGGAAATCAGTGTGGAAACTTCCCTGAAAACTGCAAGTAGACTAGTTGTATCATCCAGCAATCCCACTGTGGGACATTTACACAAGAGACAGGAGGAGATGTCAAGGAGATACCTGCATTACCACATTTATAGCAGCACGGGTTCACAGTAGCCAAAATGTGGAATCAACCAACGTGCACAGCATCAGATGAATGGATAAGTAAAGTGTAAGGTGCACAAAGGAATGTTACTCAACTGAAGAAAGAATGACCTTCTACCACTTGCTGCAGAATACTTGCAACTAGAGTACATCTTATTGAATGAAATAAGCCAGAAAGCACATATTCTCATTTATACTAAATGAGATATCACGTAGTCTCATTTATATTGAATTTTTAAGAATTACAAAAAAAAGAAATGTTTGTTTATAACTATCATGACAATTACATGTTATCAAATTTATTGTTTGGTTTTTTTTTGGTCATACCAATTGTTTGAAATGTTATATTACTATTAGTGATGTGTGACTTTTTGATGAGTAAATTTGTCATGATTCCATTTGATTATTGTTTGCAGCCCTTGTGGATATTATTACTGAAGTCTAGGGTCTTTTTACCTTTCACTTGTTGGTCTTTTTTTTTTTTAAATGGAGCAATACACCCTTGACTGTAATTAAAATAAATGAAAAGGTAAAAAGGTATCTCAAACACAAGAGGGAAGGAGGGAAGGAAGGTAAGAAAGATGGCAGAAAAGCAAGGGGAGATGAAAGTACAGAGGGGGAAGGAAAGGGTGAAAAGGAAAAGGAATATTGTATTCATAAAATTATGTGTCTGAACTAAATTGGATCTGTTCTTTGTGTTTATATTCCTTTAACTTGGAAAAAATCAGAGAAAAAATACAATCACTTTGAATTGTTAAAACTTTTTTTTTTCTGAAAACACTGCTTACTTGGATTCCCAATGCATGTAAACTTGAAATTCAAAAAGAAAACTACTAACATATGAAGTGATTAACCAAACTACCATCTCCCCTTAGTTAAACATCTTCTGGTTGGAAGGCATTGCTGAGTTTTGTTGTTCGTGGGTGAAACACCAGGAAGCTAAGGATCAGGCAACTCCCAGCTTCGTACTCAGCATTGTCATCTTTATCCATTCACTTAATTTATTCCTCTGTTGCTCTTTTTATACCTTAGTTGCCTCATACACCTAATTGGTTTCCACATTGTGTTAAGGATCAAATTGATCAGAAGAGATGATAATTATTAAGAGGAATGAATATTGAAATTGTATATAGCTTTGTGGTGTTATCTTCTGATTCTATTAGTTGCATTCCTGTTAGTACAAGATTATTCATTCGTTAGTGGTAGCGGAACTAATTTAGTATATATTTTAATACCCTTGATAAATGTTACAGTGACTTTAAAAACCTTTTGAATCACAGTACTTTTTTCTTTATTACTTGAGGAATAAAATGAGAATTCTATCTAGTAAGTGAATACCTGGAGTTTGTAGAAGGAAAACTTACTTAAGCAAACCAGAATTTCAAATATATTCTTTTTATGTCTGTAAGCTCTCTAGTCTGTATTTGGACCAGCTACAGTCCCCTTAAATTCATTTTAGATGGCTCTAATAATGGGAAGATGTGTTGAATGTTACCAGATATTTGAACATTATTCACATACACTTTGACGAGAGACAGGATTTCTGCTCATGAAGTGAAGCTTCTGAATTGTCTTTGTGTGTGTTTTGTTTTCCTTCCCTGTATGCACTGAGCAAAGGCTCAATGATAAATGTCTAAGTGACTCGGTGAAGCAGCAGAGCACCAGTTAATGGTGGACATCTACCTAATGCTGCCAAGATGTTAGTAGTATGAAGAAGAAGTGAAATTAATTCCTCCAGCAATCTTTGGCCTCAGCACTCTGTTTTGTTACAAATCATTTGAAGAATATCCTTTGGTGAATATTTAAACTATAAGATTTGTGATTACGTGTTTATTTCACTGTCTTACTCCTCAAGGGCCAATACGCTTCAGGCCCACCCCGACTCCATATTCCTGGCAGTGTCCCTAAAACTCTGTTGTGGGCCTGGTGCTTCATAGATACTCAGTAAATAGTTATTGATTTAAATTAAGCAAAAAATTCTCCCACAAAATTACATTTTTCTTACATATTGCAACAGTGATAGTACTTTGGGGGATTGGAATAGCCAAATGGATATGAAAAGGTGAATAATTCTTGTTAATTAGTGGCCTTGATTCTAATGCAAGGCCTGGAAACACAGAAAGGCCTTCTTATTATGCATTATATTAGTTCATTAAGTTTTCTCTTTGCAGCTGTGCCATTTTTGACATTCTACAAGTTTATTAAAGTGATAAAAAGTCAAACAATTAAGAATGACAAATTAACAGTCGGAAGCTGTCATGTTTCTTTATCTAGTCTCAACATTTTTTTTTTCTCCCTTCAGGAAATTTTGGTGTGTGGCCATTCCTTGGAAGTGAATATAACCACAAACCTGGATTTCTTCCTGAGTGTGGCTCAGGCTCAACTCTTACATCAGCTAATAGTAGCAAATATGACAGGGCTGGAGCCATCGGACAAGGGCACAGAGGTAACTGGTACCTGATTTTCATTAAGTTTAATGCTTTTGTACCCATTTTACATTCACAGTAAGAAAACTATCATTAGAATAAATGCTTTTTACTAGTTATTCTATGCTTAATGTTGTTAACAGTAAGATCGTAAAACCCTTTGAATTGATGTCCTTTGTTTTGAAATTTTGTTTAGTCTCTTTTCCTCTTAGTTATCATTCAGTTTTGCAAAACTGCTGCGGCCTGATGTCAGTAAAACCTCCTTTGCAAACATTTTATTACTCTGATGTAATTTTCTAAAACACAGTACAAGTAACCTAGTGTTGCTTTTGTTATTTACTCAGATGTATTACAGGAATTGATCTCATTTGAAAGTGAGCTTTGTAAGAATGTCGTGGGAGTATCTTCAATAAATGCTAAAGCATTTGTTTCCCATATTCAAAAATAGACATGATCAGAAAAGTTGAGTGCCTGCCTGGAGTTTTGGTTTTGACCTGGTGGTGACTGAAAGCCTGTGTTGTACCCAGAAAGCCTGTCAGCATGAAACAAAGAAAGCTGCTTTTTTTAGGTGCTCTCCATCAATTTGTTGTTGTTGCCACATTTCTCTCATCGTATCTGTACCTAAACTTGGATGGTAAAACTATTCATGGAGAGTGTAGCTTTTATTTTTGTCTTGAGTTATACTCAGGGCTCTGAGTTAAGTGAGAGCTGCTTGATGCCAGGCAGTGTGGCCAGGCATTGCCATGGAAGTTAATGCATATATATTCCAGCCAGTTGTAATTACCCTGTGAGGCAGATTTGAGCATTGGCACTGTTTTCTAGATGAGGATCTGGTGTTAGGAGAATGCCAGAAATCATTGTTGTCATGTAACAAAAGATGATCCACTTTAGGTATGAATTTGGAATTTTCAAGACAGTTCTCTTTTCTATTATATCTCTCCTTTCATTCTTTTTTATTTAAATATGTATATAGCTATATATAGGCATATGTTTTTTGAAATCAAAACTACAGATTATAATGAGGGAGCATATTTGGCCCTGTTTCCAGCCAGGAAAATGCATCTGTAAAAATAACAAGAGATCTTTATTGAACTGGGACATTATAGTTCCACTGTTGAATTATTAGCATACTTGAGGCTGATCATCTGTGGGTATACATACATATTAGTTATCTAAAATACTATTTGTAGTAAGTTAGGGTATATTTTGAAAAGATTGTTTGGTTCAAAATCAGCACAATAATTTAAGCTTTTAAAAATATTTTTTTTTAATTTAAAAAACAGGAGATTGTACCTGATAGAATTATTGGGAAGATGAGAAAAGGGATATGAATTTGTTAAAAATACGTATGCTGACATTGTGAAAGATTTCTGTTTTATAAACATGTTGGATTACTAATGAGAAACCCATTCATTAGGCACCTTGTGAATTGTAGGCCAGTAATTGTCATGATCGTCTTGAATTCATGATCTACAATACATTAATGCAGTAGTTATAGATGGTTTAGGTGAATGACCTCCCATGTTGAACTGAATTTTTCCAATGTTTTTGTTCTGAAAAATGTGCTTTAGATGGGATGAAGTTTCTGGATCAAGGGGTCTGTATTTCTATTTTTGTTCATTTTCATTGCTCCTTTCAGTACTGGTACCTGCATGGTTTCTCACCTGTGAAAGATTTCATTTCTAGCTTCAAGATTTCATTTCAAACTCTAACTATGAAAGATTTTCATTTTTTATCGATTTATTTAGTTTATTTATTTGAAAAACATAATGACAGAAAAAGGGAGAAACAGAAAAATGTTTTGTTCAGTGTTCTATTCCCCACATGGTTGCAGTGGCCCAGGCCCAGCTAGGAGCCTGGAGTTCCATCTAGGCTCCCCAAATTAATGGCAAGGGCCCACATATTTCAGTCATCATCTACTGCTTTCCTGTGTGCATTAGCAGGTTGGAGGATTGGAAGCAGTGTAGCTGGATGCTTTTTGAAGTATGTTACAATATTTTGGATTATTTGGTGTACATACTGACTGAGTTTATGCCATATGGACTGGTGGTAGAGGTTGTTTTTTGTGATCTATTTACTACTTTAAATTGAAAATAGTCTGCTCCAAAATTATACTTCATTTTAGGAATTGAAAATCTTGGCATTTAGTAGAAAGAAAAAAGAAAGGATTTTATAATACACGTTTGGCCAACCTTGAAGGATTGCCAGGAGTAACTGGAAATAAAAATTTGAGGACAAACGAGGAAACTCTAACTATGTTGTTGTTTTGTACCAGGTGTATTTTGGAGTAGAAGTCTGAGTGAGAAGAGGGATATAGTGGGTGAAAGTAAAGTTTCAAAGTGGAAACTGAGGCTGATATGCAGAAAAATGCTGAAGTAATCATCTATCTTGGTGCCTTCTGTCTTAAGGTAGAAATGAATGGAAAAGGCCAGGTCAGATGTTACGATTCTGTGTTTAGGAAACAAAGGAAAATGTTGATAATGTACATTGGAGGACCTTCTGTTGGTGTCCCTATGATTTTTAGTTTGTTTCCTGTAGAGTCTCCAAGGAAAACTACTCCTAAGCAAGCATTTGAAATAGGCTCCAATAAAGTATGGATTCGAGCAAAGCCTTAAATGAACAAAGCGGCTGTGATGGAAGACCTTGAGTTTCTTAAAATGTAGATCAGGAATAGGCATTAACTGCCATTCCTTTCAAAATGCACTTCTAAGGGCCACTGAAGTCTGTCTCCTGTTGGAGTTCTAGTTATTAGGCCTTGTGAAGGTTATGCATGATATAATTCTGTCCTGATAAACAGTCTATGCCCAGACAAAAATGTATCATATTTGCCCCAAAGGAGATGCAAAATTTGAAAGACAGTTAATACTTTAAAATTTTTAGCCATATTATATTTATCCCATAGATAAATCTCTTAATAAGAAATGCATTTATTTTTTCCTAAGGTTATGTTACAGTGTGTAGCTTAGCCTTGCTCTTCACTGTTCATTGAGAGCTGATATATGCTTGAGGTCCAAAGGTATAGAAAATGCAAAAGCTGTCGTCCCTGCCCTCTAGGATTTTATAATGTGATGAGGAAATAAAGCATGCACAAGTGCAGTGGAAACTTACAACTCAGTGCAGGATATGAAAATTGTTGAGGATTCAGTCTTACATCATGAAGAGATTGGAAATCAAAACGAGAGCAGTCAACTGTTTCTTAACTAATTACACTCCTTGTGTGTCAAGCATAATAGGGATGCTAAAGTGACAGGATTTAACAAAGGAGGTTAAGTTTCTGCTCTCATATTCTGGTGTTTATATATTGAAAGGGGTAGAAAACAAACAATAATTGGCAGTGGATTAAAGTATGTGTAATTCATTGTGCAAAGATTTTGTAAGTTTGCATTCTTACATGACCTAATCTTTCTTATAAACTTACACTCCATTTAGATTGGGGATATTGATAGGAAAGTGAACCAGTCGGAGGACATGATGTCATTTGCTGTTAATGGAAAGTATTTAAGGCATGGACTAATATTGTGAACAAAAGTATGGAGTTGACAAACATTAGTATTTGTTGATAGGGTAGTTTAAAAATTCAACTTGTTAAGAATAAATGAACTGTGTAAGAAAATAATGGGATATACAGTAAGAAGTATGAATTTATGATGGGTAGTTAAGGAAAAATTTAGTATTTGAAGGTGTGAAAATCAGTTAATCCCAAACACAAGTATCAGAGGAATGAAGACAGAAACCATATAATCCTCTCAAACAAATGTAAAAAAGAAAGCATTTGATAAATCCCTTTGTGACAAGAACATCTACTCAACAAACTGGGAATAGAGGTGGACTTCCTCAATTTGATAAACACTAGATGTTTTACTGGTAAAACTAAGACTGTAAGAATAAATGTCCACGTTGATGTGGGCACTTTCATTATTTCTGTGCATCATTGTACTGTAGTTTCTAGCCAAGATTATTAGGGAAGAAAAAGAAATAAAAGATGGCTATATTGGAAAGGACAGGAAAGCTAACTCTGCCTGCAAATGACGAAGCAACATATGTATGAGCTGTGTGGGGAAATAAACTTTAACATATACATATTACTATAAAATCATGTAATCATAAAGGAAATTAATAAAAACAATTTCATTTATAGCAGCATAAAGAGTAAAATATTTTGGAATACATTTAACAAAATAATATAAGACTTTCACCCTGAAACTTATAAAATATCATTGAAAGAAGAAAATATCTAAGTCAGGAGAAAGACATTTGTGGATCAGATGACTTCATGTCAAGTGGATATTGTCAGAGTGGCAGTCCATCACAAATAAAACATTGTTGGGAAAGTATGTTGCTAAAGGTCTTCATACCTCCTGACAATGCAGTTGTAATCTAGACAGTATGACAAGAGCACAGAACAGTGCTGTTCAAAGTCCAGGATGCTGTTCAGGAACTAATCTTCATATTCACAGCTGATTTTTAACAAGGTAACATAAACTGCTCAATAGAGGAGAGCATTTTCTTTTCAACAAATGGTGCCAGGAGAACCAGTTAGTCACATAAATAGAATGAAGGCAGGTGCCTAAATCATACCTTATGTAAGTCAAAATGGATCTAAGACCTGAATTTAAGAGCTAAAATTGTAAAATTCTTCGAAAAAATCATTGATCTACATTTGCATTCTCTTGGATTAGATAACGAGTTCTTAGGTATGACACCAAATTTACATGCATTCCCAAAGCAAATCAATTTTACTTCATGAAAACTTCTTAAACTTTTATATTTCACAGTACATCAATAAGAAAGTTAAAAGGTAACTCATAGAATAACAAAATATTTGAAGATTATTTTTTATTGGAAGGTTAGATATACAGAGAGGAGGAGAGACAGAGAGGACGACCTTCTCTCCGCTGATTCACTCCCTAAGCAGCCACTGTACTGATCTGAAGCCAGGAGTCAGGAGCCTCTTCTGGGTCTGCCACATAGGTGCAGGGTCCCAAGGCTTTGAGCCGTCCTCTACTGCTTTCCCAGGTCA